AAAAAAACAGGTAAGTATCAGTTACCATTAAATACCGGGGCACTACAATATGTGCCCTGCATGTACATGTAGGGGGCAATTTTGACCCAGGGGCATGATTTTTTAACTTTTGTAGAGGATCAAAATATAATGCTAAATTGTAGTTTCAGGAGGGATTTTAAAGACATATTTTCTAAATAAATCTATATATACTAAGTGTCCCCTAGGGTAGGACTATTCTTGACTGCAGTTCTAATCTCTGTGCATTGTAGTAATCCACAAGAAGAAATATGTTTTTCCTACGTTAGTCAATATAAACTAAGTGACCCCTTGGACTGGACCAATTTTGACCTCAGGGGCACTATTTGTATATCTTTTTGTATAGGACCACAAAGTAATTCTATATACAAGTATCAAATATCTTTGCTCTTGGTATTTTAATTTCAGAGAATATTTTTAAAACATGCTTACTATAGACGTCTAAATAAACTAATTGACCTGAAGTTCTAGCTCATTTTTACAATACAAGTCTAAATAAACTAAAAACTTGATGTCACTTTTACTACAGAAGGCTAAATAAATTAAGTGACCACAAGTTCAGGGTCATTTTTGACCCCAGGATTAATGTCTCTTTGGTAGAGGTTCACAAGGAAATGCTACATGCCAAAAATCTAAGCTCTCACCATTGTGGATATACAAAACTTTTAAAAAGCTTTCCTAAAGAAGTCTTTCTAATGTTAGAAGTTATCGGCAACTGCCGACCAATTTTCATCATTGGGGAATGTTATAAAGAAATTTTATAGAGGATCAAATGGTGATGCTACATGCCAACTATCTATGCTCTGGGAATTGTAGTTTTGAAGAATTTTAAAGACAGGTTGCAATAAAAGTCTGTGAGAATTAACTTACCATTATGGCGGAGGGGTATGATTTTTATTACTCTGGTAGAGGTCAACTTTACAACGCTACAGGACAAATATTTAAGCTCTGGACACAGATTTAAATATATCCACCTATATAAGTCTATATAAATCTGTGATGAAGGTCAATTTTGACCACTAAGACAAGATTTATAAATTATTTTGAAGAGGTACACAAGGTGATGCTACATGCCAAATTATCTTAGCTCTGGGCAGAAAATTTCATTTTTGAACTTGTGACCTACTTTTGCACTAAACTGGAGACATCTATACAGTTTAATCAAGTTCAAATCAATTGTAATTCTCAAAATGTCGCAAGAGTTACCTTTCTTTGTATCATGTGGAACTGGATGTAGTTTTAAGTTTTGAGACAGGAATTGACATTTTAATTTATAATCTGGTTCCTGGTATAGATCCTCAGATTTGTATTGTGTCTTCAGTGGTGTAGGGGGACCAGACTCAACTGACACCGGACTCACACTCCTCTCTTTCATTCTTCTTCGTCTTTTCCTCCATTTTTCAAAATCAGCTTCTGTGAAATATTGGAGTAAATGCTTCAGTTCATTTCAATTTGTAAACTGCAAAAACTATGTATATATATAGTTTCTATAGCAAAATCAACACAGTGAATATGTTATTATTAGGGATGGCAATTTTGCCTATTTTTGCAATCGAATGTTCGAGTCCCAGTTGCATCAAAAAGTTTGAATGTTTGGATCATGTGAAAAAAATCTCACAAACTATTAAACCAGATGTATTTAGTAGAACCTGTATCCCTGATTTGTACTCCAACTTATAAGACTCTAGACAAATTTTGGATGGGGGATAACTTTTTTCCAATTGGTTAACAGTAGGAAAAACAGTCTGTAAAATGGGTTGCGTTACAGGGATAACCCTTACCAACTGTAAATGACACTTGTTGAATTAATACACCAGCCCAGGTATGGTCACTAACCTTGCCCTCTTATCATTATTTTCCACTTGTCAAAGATTTTCTACTACAATATGTGTGAATAACTGTACCATTGGCGAATGGCTTTATTAATTTGCAAAATTGAATCATCAATAAAATTTGCAAAATTTGTTTTAATTATTTCCTGTTTAAATATAATTCATAAAGCTATGCTCATTTCAATATGCATGCATACATCAACTTGTTTCATCTGTGTTTTACATTTGAGCCGTATTTTAAACAATAACATGCAAACACAAGAACAGATTATCTACATGTATGTTGTTGACAAAATCATGAACAGCAACAGAAAAACATTATTTTTAACCGTATAGGCATGCATTGTTTGAAACCAGTCTGATGACCGTTGCTTAGATATTTCATTTTAAAGGTACATGCCGCCAGATGAATCAACTACTTCAAGAAAATCAAATTTGAGAAAGAACTGATATTTTAAGAAAAGTAAAAAAAGATTCCAGGTAAAAGTAATAATTTCCATGTTATGTGCCATTTATGACCAATTTTGCAGTATTTTTCACAATATGTCTACTGCGCGATTTCAATTACATCCAAAACATTTATTTAGTTATATCATTAGCAAAATTTCAAAGAGCTGAGTGGTTAAAAGGTCTGACTAGTAATCTAAAGATTGCTAGCCCAATGTTTTCAGACCCAGTCAGGGTCAAGCCGTTAATTCTTTAAGCAAGAAAGTTTATACTCGATGCAAAGTATTGTATAAACATTTGTTTTAAATTCATTTAAAGTTAGGTTTAAGTGATAAAAACTTATTATTAAGTAAATATAGAACTTATCGTCACCAAATTTGTCTCAATGAGATACAAAATGCATATTGATACTTATATAGAAATTTATATTAACCACAAACCTTTTTTATTTGAAAAAGTTGTAAGTCCAAGCTCTGAGAACAGTTTAATCTTCTTTGGTGATGTGTCCAGCTTTAATGGTGGACCTGATGAGATCAGGAGTTGTTTCCCTTGATTGTCCTCTTCATTACTGAAGTCACATTCACTATCACTACAAAATGTCTTATCTCGAGATTCCTGTTTCCGTTTTTCATCTAGATCAAGTTTACTGATGCAGTTCTGAGATTCGTGTCCTGATGATTTTGTGAAATCCATCCCGCCAGCCGTTTCACTTTTATGTAGTAAACTAGACTGAATTAAAGACGTGTTATACGATGGGACATTTAATGGCGTCGAGTAAGGAGAGTGCGGAATACTATATTGCGCATCCCTGTTGGCAGAACGCGATAAAATCTGAGCGTCAGATTCCATTTTAGAAATGTGATTCGCGAATGTTTGAAAGGCGCTCACTGAAGAGCCAGCCTTGTGAATTGTCTCCCTTAAGTCTTTCTCGTGTTTCCTATCATGAAGATTTCTATCGTGTAAGTGTTTCTTTTCCTCCGATTCCACTTTACAAATGGCGGAGTTCTCCCTTTCTCGTCTACTATGATTATCGTACCCATTTATCATCTGGTTACTGTCAAAGGGTCGGAACAGACTCGTTTCATTACTTTTACTTGATCGTGACGGATCCCCATGTGCCCTCGGTGAGACTAGAGGTGGAGGCCGAGACTTCCCACCTTCCCTTAGAGGGTTGACCAGGGACATACGCTTTTCATGCTCATCTATGGCATTCTGTAGAGAGAAAAAATTTATAAATGAACACTTTTATTACAATGTTTAATATGTATTGTCACTTAAATTTTAATCAACACTATTCATTAGTTCTTCATTAAATTTATTCTGAGTACAGAAATGCAAGCATCTCTAAACAAACAACTTCATGATAGACTAAATAAACAGAACACAGCTTGCATTTCACAATTCAGTTAAAACATAACCCAATTCTGTGGAAATAATACAAACCCTGTGTAAAGATGGTTGACTATGGCTACTTGGGAAATTATAATCTTCTTTTGAAAGTTTTCTTTCTTCCTTACGACCAAAACTGGCAGTTGATGATGATGATGATGAAACTCTAGGGTATCTGTCAGCAATACCAAGTCCTTTAGGTGTTCCTTGTATAATACTTCCAAACTTGGCAGCTGTTGAAAAATAAAAGACATTTTATTATTAAGAGTTTTGTAATTATTCTTTAATATTTTAAATAACATAAAACTGAAATATTTTGAATTGACAACACGACTCCCAAATCACATACTTCAAAATATCAAATTTTTGCATTGTTAAAGAAAAACTTTTGTTGAATCATCCAAATCTAAAACTTTTTTTAATATTTCTCAATACTTTGATAAATATTACATACAAACTGATATCAGGTATATGATTGACATTCAAGCTTGTAAACGTGTTTAAACAAATTATGTTTCTTATAAAAACTAAAAAAATCACTCTTGATATTTAATAACTGCTACAAAAACAAGAACTGTCGGAGGACAGTAATGCTCGACTATTCGAAAATTTGTCACAAGGGTGTTTCATTGAGTATAATAATGCTTACCTATATGAATACATAAAATTGTACGAAAAGGTACAAACCCTTCAAGTTTCAATACAATCACAGAGAACAAGTCTGTGAAGTTTCAATCCATTCCCTTCAGTAGTAATGGAGATACCAGCTTACACACAAAAACTTAATAACGAATTTATGAATCGAAAAAGGGGAATAATTATGCGAAAAAGTATATCAGAGTTATGGCACTTGTGCCAATCATCTTAAATAATTACAGAGACCAAGTGTGTGAAGTTTCAATCCATTCCCTTCAGTAGTTATGGAGATACCAGCTTACACGCAAAAACTTAACCAAGAATTTCTAAGATAAAAAATTGGCATAATTATGCAAAAAAGCAAATCAGAGTTATGGGACTTGTGCCAATCATCTTAGATAATCACAGAGACCAAGTGTGTGAAGTTTCAATCCATTCCCTTCAGTAGTTATGGAGATACCAGCTTTAACACACAAAAACTTAACCAAGAATTTCTAAGTGGAACAAGGGGCATAATTATGTAAAAAAGCAAATCAGAGTTATGGGACTTGTGCCAATCATCTTAGATAATCACAGAGAACAAGTGTGTGAAGTTTCAATCCATTCCCTTCAGTAGTTATGGAGATACCAGCTTTAACACGCAAAAACTTAACCAAGAATTTCTAAGTCGAACAAGGGGCATAATTATGTAAAAAAGCAAATCAGAGTTATGAGACTTGTGCCAATCATCTTAGATAATCACAGAGAACAAGTGTGTGAAGTTTCAATCCATTCCCTTCAGTAGTTATGGAGATACCAGCTTACATACAAAAACTTAACCAAGAATTTCTAAGTCGGAAAAGGGGCATTTTTATGTAAAAAAGCAAATCAGAGTTATGGGACTTGTGCCAATCATCTTAGATAATCACAGAGAACAAGTGTGTGAAGTTTCAATCCATTCCCTTCAGTAGTTATGGAGATACCAGCTTACAAACAAAAACTTAACCAATAATTTCTAAGTCGAAAAAGGGGCATAATTATGTAAAAAAGCAAATCAGAGTTATGGGACTTGAGCCAATCATCTAAGATAATTAGTGAGAACAAGTGTGTGAAGTTTCAATCCATTCCCTTCAGTAGTTATGGAGATACCAGCTTACATACAAAAACTTAACCAAGAATTTCTAAGTCGAAAAAGGGGCATAATTATGTAAACAAGAGGGCCATGATGGCCCTAGATCGCTCACCTGAATTATCAAACTCATCCAAACAATTACCTAGACAAGCATTCTGACCAAGTCTCATGACAGGTGAGTCAAAAATGTGACCACTACAGTGTTAACAAGGATTATCCATATTTGAGCAGTGCGACCTAGTTTTTTACCCAGGTGACACATATTCAAACTTGACCTAGAAATCATCAAAACAAACTTTCAGACCAATTTCCAGGATACTTGGATCAAAACAGTAGCAACTAGAGTGTTAACAAGATTTTTCTATTTTTAGCTCCGGTGACCTAGTTTCACATGCGATTTCGAACTAATCCAAGCAATTACCTAGACAAGCATCCTGACCAAGTTTGATGATAATCGAGTCGAAAATGTGACCACTAGAATGTTAACAAGGTTTTTCCATATTTGGGCGGTGTGTGACCTAGTTTTTCATCCAAGATGACCCATGTTTGATCTTGACTTAGAAATCATCAAAAAAAAACTTTCAGACCAATTAACAGAATATTTGGATCACAACAGTAGCCACTAGAGTGTTAACAAGATTTTTCTATTTTTAGCTCATGTGACCTAGTTTTTCATCCGAGATGTCCCATGTTCGATTTATTCCAAGCAATGACCTATTCAAGTTTCCTGACCAAGTTTGATGACAATTGAGTCAAAATTGTGACCACTAGAGTGTTAACAAGGTTTTTTTCTATTTTTAGCTCCTGTGACCTAGTTTTTCATCCGAGATGACCCATGTTCGAACTCATCCGAGCTATCACCTAGACAAGCATCTTGATCAAGTTTGATGATGATTGATGCAAAAATGTGACCGCTAAAGTGTTAACAAGGTTTTTTCTATTTATAGCTCCGGTGACCTAGTTTTTCATCCGAGATGACCCATATTCGAACTCATCTGAGCTATTATCTAAACAAGCATCCTGACAAAGTTTGATGATGATTGGGTCAAAAAATGTGACCACTAGAGTGTTCACAAGGTTTTTCTATTTTTAGCTCCTGTGACCTAGTTTTTCATCAGAGATGACCCATGTTCGAACTCATCCAAGCAATTGACTAGACAAGCATTCTGACCAAGTTTGATGATGATTGGTTCAAAAATGTGACCACTAGAGTGTTCACAAGGTTTTTCTATTTATAGCTCCTGTGACCTACTTTTTCATCCGAGATGACCCATGTTCGAACTCATCCGAGCTATCACCTAGACAAACATCCTGACCAAGTTTGATGATGATTGGGTCAAAAATGTGACCTCTAGAGTGTTCACAAGGTTTTTCTATTTTTAGCTCTTGTGACCTAGTTTTTCATCCGAGATGACCCATGTTCGAACTCATCCGAGCTTTCAACTAGATAAGCATCCTGACCAAGTTTGATGATGATTGAGGCAAAAATGCGACCGCTAGAGTGTTCACAAGAAATTGTGGACGGCCGGACGGACGACGGACGACGGACGACGGACGACGGACATTCACCGATCCTAAAAGCTCACCCTGAGCAAGCTCAGGTGAGCTAAAAAGCAAATCAGAGTTATGGGACTTGTGCCAATCATCTTAGATAATCACAGAGAACAAGTGTGTGAAGTTTCAATCCATTCCCTTCAGTAGTTATGGAGATACCAGCTTACATACAAAAACTTAACCAAGAATTTCTAAGTCGAAAAAAGGGGCATAATTATGTAAAAAAGCAAATAAGAGTGATGGGACTTGTGCCAATCATCTTAGATAATCACAGAGAACAAGTGTGTGAAGTTTCAATCCATTCCCTTCAGTAGTTATGGAGACACCAGCTTACATACAAAAACTTAACCAAGAATTTTTAAGTTGAAAAAGGGGCATAATTATGTAAAAAAGCAAATCAGAGTTATGGGACTTGTGCCAATCATCTTAGATAATCACAGAGAACAAGTGTGTGAAGTTTCAATCCATTCCCTTCAGTAGTTATGGAGATACCAGCTTACATACAAAAACTTAACCACAGGGACGCCGACGCCGACAAATGGGTGACTGCATTAGCTCGATTATTCTACGAATAGTCAAGCTGAAAACCAACACTTTCATTTCAATATCAGTTCTAAACAATGTTTCAGTCTAATTTTGGCAGTCATTTACCAACACTTAACTACAGTACCTTTTGGCATAAATGTCATTTAAAATCAATAAAGTTAGTGGCGGTTAAGAAATGGATCAAAATAAACTGACAGAAACTAGTTGTCATGAAAACAATGTCTCTGAATACATAACCTTCTTTTTACTGAACTTTCTAAGCGTGAATAATTTAAAGAATGTGTAAAAGGAATATCAGAAACAGTGATGAATGCTCCTCAATGTTGCTTTGACAAAGTTACAAACATTGTCATAGTACAAAAAGGCTATTATTAGCCTCAGTGACCCTGACCCAACAGTCATGAATCTCCATCCGAAGTTAAAGGTCTATGAAATGTACTAACACAATAAATACTCAAGACATCAGTCAATAAATGAAGGTCATACAAGGCCACAAAGACTTTGGAATGGGATATATTGTATGCACATAATCACATGTTTGAATATAACTATTAGTTAATTAACAGAAGACCCCACTTCTCTTAAGATTATAATTGAAGTATGTTGCGATTTGAATGACATATCAGAAACTACACAATCAAAGAATTTAGGAAGCATAAAAAATCAAGCAAAAATATTTGAATGACATATCAGAACCTATACAAACACACAATTAAGAGAAGAATAAAACAAAAGAAAAGAAAAAGAAATACGTACAGAGCGAACTCTCTAAAGATTCCTTGCTCATGTCTTCTCGTGACGGCAGACGGTCCCTGTCTCTAGATGGTAATCTGTCCCTATCCTGACAAGTTAACCTGTCACGATCACGTTGTTTCTCTGCCTCTCTCTCCAGCGCCCTCTGTCGTTCACGTTGTAGAGCCATTTCCCTGTCCTTTTCACGATCTCTTTCACGTTCCCTTTCCTTATCTCTTTCACGTTCTAACTCTCTTTGTTTTTCTTCCTCCATTCTTTGTCTGGAAACAAAGTTTTACAGTAATGTTAATATTACTAATACTGATTTTTTTAAGTCATATCCACACTATTAAGGTCACATGGCAACTTTCCAGCTTTACTGGTGGTGTATTATTTCAGGCAGAATTGGTACAAGAAATATTACAATATATCACATTACTTCTAAGATATTTATATCAAAACAAAACAAAATTACACACAAGATTACAAAACTCATAACAAAATATTTTCATAAGGAATATTTGAATACACTTTTCTCTCATTTTGTCTTGATTTAGGATATTTAAATATGTATTGACGTTCTGAAATATTACCTTTCTGAAAGTATTGAAGGTGATCTATGGTCAGACATCCTGCTTTGTTGGGAAAATGGCGGAAACTGGGGTGGGAACAGATCTGGGGGGTACCGCCCTCCAGCTGCCAGTAGTGGGTGGAGACTAGGGTGTGGCATCATTCCCTGAGGGTAGGGCATGTATGGAGATTGCATCATCCTGTAGCGCTCTAGTAACAAAGGATCATCAAACCTGTGAATGGAAAACATATATTTATACTATATTTATTTGTTTTTATAGGAACAAAAATCTTGTCACTCTACACCGATTGTCGGAAAAAGGCAGACAAACTGAAAGTAAACCAAGTTGTCTAAGTTGTGATAAGAATCCATCATTAATAATTGACAAGTTTTGTGTCTGTTATATATGCTAGATAATTTGTTCCCTCTGTTGTGTAATAATGTACATGCATGTCTGTTAACAAAGGCAGAGTTCTATCATACTGTATCAGTTTTTATCGGTCACAAGTTTTCTATACAAACATAATGAAAAGCTTCAATTCAGTATATTAAACAATTGCCATGCTATTCTGTAATCTCAAGGAATATTCATTACTTTCAAAAGAATTGCCACTCACAAGGAAAAAAAAAATCTGGTTTAAAATACATGTAGCAAAACCATGTATACCAAGTAAAATGCTAGTAAATAGCTTTAATCATTTATTTTATTTCTTAATTTTCACTTAAAACATGAAACAGTAATTTTGTTTCAAGTCTTTTTTGTGCAAATGAAAAGCATTAGCTGTAAAATATGATAATCTTACATTAATATGCATATATTTTAGATAAAAAGAAAAAAGAGACTCCCTGAATATCCAAATGAATATTGTTTAACCATTTCATACAGATAAAAAAACTAACCATTTTATACAATTAAAAGGTCAAAGGCGTCATAGAATTGAAATGATTCCAATTACATTCAGAATTTACATTGACATTACATAAAGCCTGACTCTTGTTTCACTTATTAAAGAAAAACTTTTCGCAAAAATGCAAATTCTGATACAAATATGTAGCTCTGTAATGCTATTTGCCATGTTAGAAAACAGAACTTGATGGCTTCGTGACAGAAAAAGCTGTCACCAAAACATCACAAGCATTTTATTACACTTTCTATTACATCAACATCCATCCAGGTACAATGCTTTTTCTAAAACAAATGTTACCGGCACATTTTCAAATCTCATTTTTTTTTTGTTTTAATTACTTCTTTTCTAATGTTTTTGTCAATACAATAAAATCTGTTCATTTGCATAGAAAAATCGACAAAAATATGTTTAATTCATGTTGGAGGTGATTTTTGAAATGGAAAAACAGTTTTTAATATCACATCTGTTGCATAATGCCAGCATAACATGTAAATCTAAAAACAGAAAATCTCCTCAATTAACTGCCTACATTTCCATGCTTTCATTTTTTTTATTCTCATAAACTTTTACATAACAACAATACTTTTTAGAGCCAGCTTGGCTAACTAATATTTCAAATAAAAGCAATACTATTCTTTACAAAGATCAGAAATGCAGATTGGAAGAAAAACTGGTCTTTGATAACAGGTATTCACTAAAAACAAAACAACATAATTTTGTAATGATATTGTTAGTAAAACATTAAATTTCAGCTCAACTGTGATGAAAGGTTGACAGTAATATGAAACATTCTTAAGTCCATTTCCTGTGAAACATTCTAGAGTCAATTTCCTGGAAAACATTCTTGAGTTCATTTCAAGGGCCCTTTCATTGTGGTTATGCAAAGGTTGCGTTGGTAGAATCTATGGCAACTAGCAGGTCTTCATCCAGACCATTCTTTTACATTCTAAAGTTATGTTTAAATTATATGTGCATTCTGTAATTCTAAATTTATTTTATTGTTCTCTTCTCTAAAATATATAAATAAATGTATAATTCTACAGTTAATGCTGTTTAATCAAACCCATACCTTGTTGGAACTGAAAGTGCACATATGTAAAGTCTGAACAAATTCTATGCTTTTGGCCGACTTTTATTTTTCTTAACGATATCCCAAAAAAATTTATAAAGGGCAGTTTCCAAAAAGAAAAGGTGACAATACATTTTTAGAAAATTTGAGTGTTAAGGGCTAAAAAAAATGTTTTCCCTACCTGAATGCGTGTGGAAAAAACATGGGGGGGTAAAAAACCCGCAGGGTTAAAAATAGGGGAGCTGCGCAGCCCCTGCAGCATGGGGCCATGCCAAAGATGATGACTAGGCGGGGGCAAGTCATCTCCTGGTCGGTATGGCTGAAACCCACGAGCTGGGACCTCTTCTCTCCCAGACATGGGCGACACAGCCCCAGGGGTTGAATGTGGGGTCATTCTGAAAGAAATAAACTAAACCCATCAAGAATTTTACTCACAAAATACAATAATTTTAAATGTAAAGAAAGTAAATTAAATATCACCAATATTGCTTATCTACTCAAGTATACATGAATAGTATTCTGTACTAATTCAGCTGGAAATGAAGATGTGAATAAAATAACAAGAGCAGTCAGAGGACAGAGTGCTCTACTATTCTCAGTAATTTATAGTAATACAAAAGCCTGTAAAATGTAGAATCCCTTAAGTTCAAATAGGGCCATTATTCTTTTGATATCCATATTTGAGGAATGTGCCATGGACAGTGACCTGGTATTATGCTCACAAATAAGTGTTTGAAGTTTCAATTCCCTTCAGTTGTTCTGGAGATATCAACTTGCATGCTAAAACTTAACTTTGTTCCATTAAAAATCAATGAATTTTAATATGCTGACTTAAGTAGCCAACAGTACAAAGACTGGTCAGTCTATGGAAACTTACAGGCTAGCCTGTCCCTTAATTTGTACCATAGGCTTGTTATTATCAGCTTATGTTTTATAAATTTAAAGACAAAAGTTTACCTCCTGGCTGACTGGGAGAGATTGTCTCTACTTGAGGCCCTGTCATCATCCCTCGAGGCCGAGGAGTGAGGCCGGTCCATCTTGCCCGATACAGACTCAAACATTGAAGAGTTGCTGTGTAATCTCTCCAAGGTCTGAAAACAAAATTAAATCACACAAAATTAAAAGCAAACAAAATTAAGATCAAGCTAAATTAAGATCATACTATAAACTTTATATTACTTTACCTATAAGACTGATGTTCGGAACACTACTAATTCTTACAAAATTTCATTTGGCAATCCTATCTGCAATTATCATAGTATTGCAAGCAACACATAAGTCCTCTACCAGTTAGAACCCCGGCAACATTCTGAAGGGCCAATGGCCATTCAATTATGCCATTGAATGAAAATGAATGACATGTATGAACTTTAATCTTTTTCTTACTTTGTCTGTATCATAGTAAAGTGTTAAGTTTCCCTGCCTTGTAGGGGACCAAAATATTTTGCGATCAATTACACAATCAATAGTTAACATAATCATATCTAAGCTATTTTCCCGGAAAAGATATCAAATAATATTATACTGAAATTCAAAATCATGTATGTGTAATCTTGTATCACAATATTTTAAACTTACAGGTCTGTTATCACTGGACAGTAGACTGGGATGTGATTGAGTTGGTGCTATGGTTACGACAGGAGGTGAGGTCAAGGTCGTAGATGTGTTATACATCAGAGGTGGTGGTCCACTCTTTGCTGTAGTATCCCTCGGGCTGGTAGATGAAGTTGTCTTTACAGGTCCACCTTCATCTGTAAATATGAACAATGACTGTGTCATTAATACTGTAAACCTTTAAATACAGGTTTTTACAAAAAATATTACCAGCATTTAATTGGCTGTTGTAAAATCTTACTATTTGAAATGGACCAATTACATTTGTTTCCACCTTTCTAATGTAATTTTGAATAGTCTGTGCCATTAATTGATAGATCCCTACTCTGACCTTTTAACTGAATAGCAATAGATTTTATAACCTCAAACATGTGCTTTTTAGTTATGAAATATGTTGTGACATTCTTACTGTATTCACTAATCTGATCATTAGAATTAGACAAGTCAGGGATCTATGCATTTGTTCAGGCCTTTTATACATGTTACTAAAATATCAAACTTAGAATGTAACCAATTTCTTTTCCCAAGATCATATTTTTTCCCGCTCATTCTAATAGTTTAATTTTCATTTCAAACTGGCAAGTAAGATAATCCCATTTGATTGACTGACTGCAATATCTACTATAACTATCTATCACAACTGTAGCATCATTTAACATAACATCACGTCAGACTGCAGTGATAAAGATCTGTTATTTTAACCGTGCCAAAATTTAGAGGGAAAATTAACTCCTCAGTGTCTCGTTCTGCTGAAACATTTGTGTTATCTCTCTTTCATTCATAAAATTTTATTTGTTTCATTATCGCCTCTGTAAACTATTGGACACTACAGTTCTCTCTGTGCCACGTTTCCTAATATAGAAAAAAATACCCCCTGTGTCCTAATATTTGTCGGTATATATCAATGTCTGTATACATGGAAAAAAACTAGAAATATGTCGAAAGGACATGTTTGCCCCCTACATGCAACTGTTTTGCCAGTTTAGTGATGGACAGCCTACAAAAAACTGGACAGATGGACCTGGACAAATCTATATGCCCATCCCCTAGGTAGAGGGAGCATAAAAACTCTCATGTATTTAAATACAACCATTTAGAGTACTATACTGGGTTTTGAATATTTATATTTTTAGTTATAATGTTTTTTGACATGTTATATGGCCCTTTATAAACAGTTGTTTGGAAATATAACCCGAGCCACATATAAATTTATATTTCTGTATTCTATTACATAATGTATCATTCAAAACCTTACAGTATATCTAAATCTGAGCCTACTTTAACTTAACATTGTCAAATGGAGGGGGCACTAAACAAATCTTCCAGCTTGACAGTCAAGTCTTTGTCCATCTGTCCAGCTTTTATACTGTCTCATTGTCCTTCAGTAAACTGACAAAACAGTTGAATGTGTGGGACATTCATGTCCTATGGACACATTTCTAGTTTTTTTCTATGATTTATGTATACAGACTTTGATATATGCAATCATACAAGTATTACACAGGAATTTCAGAAAGTTCAAGAAGGACTATAATCCAGAATAAATGCAAGTTAAGAGTTATGGGTCTTACTACAATTATAATGCCAAAAGCATGTAGGCAGTTTTAAGTGAATACTTTCGGTGGTTATTGAGATAAGAGAGTGCAAGTCCAACTTTACAACAGATTTAATGCTTTTGTATAGTGAAAAATAAATTATAACACTCAATACTTAGATCTCTCATCAGGAAAACCTTTGCTGGGTAAAAATTAGATCAATATTATAATTTTTTGGAAAAACTTTACATTTTACCTACAAATTTCCATAAAATATAATATTCTAATGGGAAAATATTAACTCATGATATTTGAATTGTAACAATTGAATATATACAGACATCATTTAGGATTTCATCGAAATATTAAGCTAATGTTGAGTGCAAGATTTTCTAAAGAAAGGGAAAAAATTCAAACATTGTTACTAAGGCTTAATTCATGGGAGAACACAGTCATTGTTTATGTACAAACCTGGAGGATCCTTTGCCTGATTGGCCAATTTTCTAAGAGCCGCAGCAAAACTTGATGTTCTTGACGCATTTAATGATGCACTTCCTCCAAGGGACGTAACTCCGTTGGTAGGCGAGGTGACGTGATGTAGTGGGGACACAGTGGCTGTGTTTCTCTGGTGCTTTGACCCGGCTGGGCTCATCATATTCAATGGGGGTGGTTTTGAACCTAATGGACCTGAAAATAGAAAAAGATGATTTGTTTTAAAGCAAAGGACACTCTTATTTTTTTGTAAGATGTTTGTTTGTCTGGTTTTTATGCTGATTCCAACACATTTTAAGTAATATCTTAGGCAATCCGCCTCAACTGGTTTTCTGCATAACTAACCAGATAGTACAAACTTCTCAACATGTCCCCACTTATCCAACATGATTTCAGAATCAGTTGTGAGAGACAAATGACAATTAAACTCATTGTCCGAGATCAATTACCACAGAGTAATTTCACCTTACTCCAGGATCGAAGGGATGTTTATAGAGCCATGACATGAAGCTCTCTCTGATAATAGGTGAAATATGATTCAAAGTTAACATAAAAAATTCAACTTCAAATGTTATAAACACCAACACAGAAGATAAAGAACAGTTGTTGTTTCTTTTTGACACAAAAAAGTCTATTTATGAATTCCTTGGAATTAGATAAGGAAACAGCAAATACGATGGCTTTATGGACAAGCATATATAATTGTATTCATTACTTACAATCAATTGAACAAGAGCTGTCGGTAGGACAACATGCTCAACTATTCTCTGTACCCAATAGTAAAACAAGACACTGGATAATGTGGAATTTTCCAAGTTCAAAAAGGGCCATCATTCTGTCAAAATCCATGTTAGAGTTAAGGGCCTTGGATATAGACCTCCTACTAGGTTTTAAAATAAGTGTTTTGAGAGTTTCAACCCATTGCCTTCAGTGGTTTTGGAGATATCAACAACTTGCAAGCAAAAACTTAACCAAAGTATGATGCCACTTGGCCTGGGTGAGTTCAATAGCTCTCCCTTTTCTTTAAATAGTCAAGCTTAAAAAGTAAACATTAAACCATGTTCACGATATAAATATCTTCAAGCTTTTATCAAAACAGCTTTATTTGATCTGCAAGACATATTCCCTGGAGATGTTCGTTTTCATTTTTTTTTATAGTGTACATGTTTTGTTGTTGTTTTTCCCCCCTGCGGATTTATCACTGCCATTATATACCAGATATTTGATACGAGCCACAAATCTGATTTATCATTTTTTTCTCGTTGCTTAACAATACAGGAATCTGAGAATTACATCTCTGTCAATTCTGATCCTGAATTTTCCCAGGAATCCAGTCATGAGACAGTCTCTCGGAGGAAATATAAAGTTCAATAGAGCAAACAATAGCGGGTCTAGATGGCAAAAAGCTCAGTTTGTAGACATTATGAACTAATCATCGTGATGTGCCATGAAATACTATCTATTATTCATAAGATATCAAAGAATTCAAGCAATCATTTTACCTTTATGACATCACTTTTGGCTTCTTGAGCCATAAAAAAAAAATTGTTAGTGATATTATTGGAATGGGATTTTTTATGTTGCCAACAATTATCTTTATATACCATTTGATGTAAGGTATCAGCAAAGAAAATCCAACTTACTTTTTTTCGTAATGATTAGTACAAAAACATGTATTAATTAGTTATACACAATTATTATTGGATAAGTATGTAGGCAAAATTGTAAAAAATGCTCCTCAATGACATAAAAGTGTATAAGTGATAATGAGTCTAGCCTGGCTTGGCACCAATGGTATTCACCAGAACAGTCTGGCTTGGCTCGGTTATGCCAATCATTCTTGCTGAAAGCCCTGCAAGGGTAGTTAGAGCCATCTTAACCTTTTACCAATGAATTTGTAAAATGGATATTTTGCCTGCTTTGAATATAGAACAGTCCATTTTGAATTCTAAGACATGCTGAAATTGAGCTACTAACAGTATAGTCTGGTCAAAATGTACAGATCATGAGGTGTGCAGGCTGAACTGGCTTGATCTAGTCTCATGACAAAATAGAATCACTTTCAGTAACAAAACAGATTCACTTTCAGTAACATTAGCTTAAAGGTTAAAAAAGCTTTGCAAATATAATCAAGATGTTCTTGTAAGGCTTGACAAAAACGCTACAGTTTCTAATTATACACGAACCATCTGAACTGACCTAGACTCTACATACATGTTTTCTCTATCAATTCTCTCACATCAATCAAGTTTTAAGATGAAAATGGTGTTATTAAAAAATGTCTAATGTTTTATAGACGCGACATCTGTATGTTTATCATATTGTTACAGATATAAAACTGTAACAAGATGTTGTATTAATGTATTATAAAGTACCATTCATTGATTTTTTTTTCATTGTTTGAAGATATATATATACAATTTTACACCAGCTGTTAGATTAATATTGTATCAACAGGTTGTACATGTTACAATCAATAGAAAATAAAACTAGAGCAAAAATAAAATGTGTTTTATAATCATAGATATTAAAATAGAAGTCCATTTCTTGTAATTCACACTAACTTAAAGCAACATGCCTTCAGATTCATTATTGTGACGTGAACAAAAAAAGTAATTAAGGCATTACAAATGACAATTACTATCCATATAAATTACCCAAAAGAGGTCAAAATAGGCAAAAATATGGAAATAAATGCTGCAAAAAGAGTCATGAATCGCACATGACATGTAAAATATTTTTTCTTGAATCTTGAAAATTTTTACTTTTCTTAAAATCTTAGTACACTTTTCTCAAGTTGAATGTTCTTTAAATATTTTAGATCATCTGGGAGGCATGCAGCTTTAAATACACCTTTAACTATATGGAATATACATTGTATTCATTATTCCATAGAGCTTACACATAACCCTTAAGGTATATCCCAACCCAACCTCCGTATAATACTGTACCAAACGTATAATACAGTACCAAACGACACCGAATAAGCATTTAGATATTTTTACGCATCATACTAACAAACTATAAAATTCATAGCCCTTAAAATAAATTGACTTTACATAACACACACACATGGAATTTAGAATCTACTGAATACATAATACAGTAAAGTCAGTTTAATAAATAGATACTTTTAACAGTTTAAAACCATAAAAAGACTGAGAATTGTCTCTTGAGAAGAAAAAAAAATTGTAAAAAGTTCGCACTTATACAATAAAATTTTGTTGGAATTATCTTTTAGCTTCATAAAACTATGTTACTAACACTATTTGTGACAGAAAATATCATCTAAGACTGCCAGTCATTTAATTACATGACATTTTAGAGACACTCGTTCCGTTCGACAAAATCCATTTCGTACATAATTGTTTCAGATATTCAAATCTCTTTCCCGAGTCCCCTCGAGTACATCATTCGAGACAAAAGGAAAAATATACAGTAACAGATATATTGCGTATTAAAAAACCTGATGAGCTTTCATACTCTCCCTAAGGACCGAGCAAAATCAATATTTATCAAGAACATCGTGCCTGCAATGCGTTTACTTCTAATGTTAGAACAATTTTCTATTGTCTCAACAGTGTTAGCTATACTCATAACCCAGTAATTGATTTCTTTCACTGTTCTAATTTCAATTTATTTGCTGTCAAAATGAGATTTGTTAATTTGTTTCCCATTTCAAGAATCGATAAAGATGAAATAAATCATGTGTCACATGACACGAGCTGTCACATGAAAACACCTAAACCTCCATTACCGGGTGCTCATCTGTGATTCAGCTATATAGTTTTCTTCTCAGCAATGTCAATTAAGTCAGATGACATCAGAATGTGGTGGTATGTTTAAAGTGGAAATTACTCTTTCAATATGCAAGCAGGAAGCCTCTACGCATACGGGAAGTGATATTAAAATCTAAAAGGCGCTAGAGAAGATGGCGTTATGACAGTCTCTTTTACTGTAATTATGAAATCATTTTATACCATTTCCGATGAATCACAGCTAGCATTTAAAAACCTGTAAAAGAAAAATTGATTTTCGTCAATTTATTATCTCCATTTTTGAAGAGTTGAAAGCAACCCAAAGAATATCAATCTCCATAAAGCAGTATTTTGAGAAACAAACAGTTTATTGCTTAAACATCCCCCGAACAGCTGGAAATCATGCATTTCTAAACAGACTTCACCTTTACTAACTCTTGAACACTTTTTGCACTTTTCTGCACAGCTGTATTCTCAAACTTGAATACCTGGAGATTTCAAACTTCTTAATTTTCACTTTCAGCAATATCAAAAACCCTGTACATCATAAAACTTTGCGCAATTTATAGACACCCACTGTACAGAATGCATGCATGTTAGGTTAAATGATTCTGGAAATTGTTGGGTTTTTTAAAAAATTTCATGCAAATATTAAGCTTATTATATAACGGGTATAAAATGCATCATTTGAAACATATGAACAATCCGAAATGTATTTCCTCAGCCATGCAACTTGACGAGGGAGAAATGTTCTTGTTGGAAAAGATTGTGAAATTATTCAAATTTCAAATATCTTTTGACATGGTCAAAGAGCTCCCTTTCTCAATCAAAATGAAAGTTATGATCAATTGAAAAACAAGGAATGCTCAAATGTAATACAGTCGGCATCGTACTTGCGGCCACCTTTATTAAGCGACTTTTTTATTAAGCGGCCACATAAAATCCCTCCCGATGATTTTTACTATTTAATTTAATTCCATTAAACGACTATTTTATATCGCGGCCAGCGGCCACTGAATGTCGGCCCAAATGTACAAAATTAAGTGTTAAAGTATCTATTAAACGGCCGTGACAAACAATCGTCCCTGCGGGCATTCTCACCTGTGTAATTTAAATTAGCGAGTAGGTTAGATGTGTACAAGCAAACAAACAAATAATTTTCATGGTCATTGGTCACAAATAACTGTCATTTAAAAACGAAATGAATAACAATTGCAACCGTTTCAAAATCGGATTTTCCGATCGTAATATTTATTGTGACATATTTTGTCAGAGCAATAACATATCACAACACCGCGTTTGCATAGTTTTGTCATGTGCTGAGAGTGACCTCCCTTATCGAAAATTATGTCGGATCGAGCGAAAAAAAGACAGACAACTAATAAGACCGGATAAATTGTATGAGGAAATCGTGCATGGAATTGAGTCTGAGTAAAT